ACGTAGGGCCACCCGAAAATAATATACACCCAAATTCGAGTATTGGGCGCATGTACATTTTATATATCATTAATAAGGTGTGTCTACGTAACCCATATTTTCTGTTGCTCAACCTTCGCAATAAGCCTGAAGCTCGTTGTGCCTTTGCCACGTTATAGTCTATGTGAGGGCTCCAGTTAAGTTTCTCGTTATAAATAATGCCCAAATATTTGATAGACTCTACTTGTGGAATCGGTTCCTGATTATAAAGTACTGAAATTTGAATAGAATCTGCTATAGGGAACACCAGGAGCGCACTTTTACTGATGTTTAGAGACAATGAAATTGAATGCAGCCAAATTTCAAGAGAATACATGTACTTTTGCAATTTTTGATGCAAAGAATAAATGTCACTGTCTGCAACGAAAAATGCAATGTCGTCTGCATAAATGTAGACAGTGATATCTCGTTCAATGGGAATTGAGCTCATCAACACATTGAATAACAGCGGAGATAGGACCGCCCCTTGAGGTACTCCACGTTGCTGTTTGAATTTAGATGAGTGACATCCATCCTTTGCACAATAAAATTCTCTCGATTTTAGAAACTCTGCTACCCAATCAACAATATATCGCGGAAAGTCACATTCGTGTAAAGAATTCAATAAAATTGAGTGCTCAACGCTATCATAAGCTTTAGCTATGTCTAGTGTTACTAGTACCGCGTATTGTCGTCTTTTTCGGGCAAGCTGTATTCGGCTCTCTAAGTCGGCATGAGCACACCAAATTGAGCATTCGCTACGAAAACCTATTTGAAATGGTTTCAATATTAGCTTGTCAGCCATCCAAACTTTTATTCTATTATTGAGAACTCTCTCTATAATTTTGATCAGGTGAGATGTTAGAGAGATTGGTCTGATGTTGTCAATGTTAAAACCTGACCCTTGTTTTTTTAATATGGGAATCACTCTAGCTATTTTCCAGTCATGTGGTATCCAGGCATTGCTTAAGGAATAGTTTATAAGGTTGAGGACGTCGCCGGGTGATATCTGGAATAAAATTTTAATCATAGGAACTGTTATACCGTCAGGACCAGGAGCCGAAGAGGGTAAGTTTCTAATTACGCTTGACATTTCGGACAATGTCACTTTTTCGTAGTCAGTCTTTATAGAGGACTTTTGCCAGTTGATTGTCAAAGTCGACGAAAATCTGTTAGCTAAACCTCTTCCGATTGCCTCTAACGAATTAGTCATTTCTTCCGTCGATAACCTGTCATAATCAGAGTTAGCTAGAGACGGCAGAATTTTGCGCGATCTCATATATCGGAATAACGCTTTCTTATTTCTAGGTTTGGAAAGAAAGTCGAAATGTTTTTTGTCATAGTCTTCTTTAGCTTTAGCCACGGTGCGCTTAAATGTAGCAGCAATAAACTTGTAATCTGCCCAATTTTTGGGGGACTGATTATGAATTAGCTGCTTCCAAGCCGCTTGTCGTCGTCTATGATCACGAGAGCACTCAGAATTCCACCACTGACTACAAGGCTTTCTCGTATCAGACTCAATAGAAAATTCTGCTTTTTTGAACGTTCTTTTAATTACCGCACTTAATTTCATGGCTTTATTTTCATCGTTGTCTTCAGTGGGGGTAGTCAAAGCAACTTCTAGGTCATTTTTAAATTTGGAATAATTGATAAAGGTTCGAGCTTGGGAGTACGATGGAATAATGGGGCAAGAAATTTCAAACAGTACTGGTAAGTGGTCACTGTTGGTGGCGCAGTCTAGAGTAGTCCAAGATACGCTAGAAATACCCGAGCTTATAAAACTCAAATCTAAGGCAGAGCGGGATCGGTCTCGGATAAATGTGGGAGTTCTAGCGTTGAGGCATGATAAATTATGGTCTATAGACCAGTCCCACAAGCGTTGTCCACATTGATCAGTCCTAAAACCCCAACTAGTGTGGTGAGAATTAAAATCTCCAACCATAATTTTTTCTGTGCACCACGAACTAACAGCCATGTCTAAACATCGCGTGTCCTGTACACCCAGAGGAAAGTAAAGATTTACCAGAGAGAAGGGAGAGCATCCAGGCAAGGTGATGTCTAAAGCGAAAATTTCACATTCGGGGGATATACTTTTGTACGAAGTTTTGATCTTTGAACTAATTTTATTATTGACAAAGAACGCTAAACCTCCACCTTTGGATGGGCGATCCAGGCGAAAAGACCGGAAATTAGGTAGGTAAAACGAATTATGTGCTGACAGCCACGTTTCTTGCAGTGCAATAATGTCTGGATTGAATTTACAAGATAAATACAATAAATCTGTACTAGCTGAATGAATAGATCGGCAGTTCCAATGAAGAATTTTGATAGAACCTATCATTTTGACAGAATTGTTTCGGCAACTACCTTATCTAAAATGCTGTCTTTAAGAAAATCGCTCTTCGATAGGTTCTCCTTCTGGTATTTTTTGTTTTTTGAATGTTTTGAAGAGCCAGTATTTTTGGAGACAGGGGATCGAGTGCGCTTTAGGGATTTGATGTCCATGTCCATATCATCATAATCCTGATCATCCTCTAGTATGTCTTCACCTATCTTCTGGTTGTCTGTACAAGAGGGCCCTGCAGCCTGTACCCCTGAAGGAGATGACTCTGCGTCTGCTTCACTTGGTGGGAGAGTTACGTTGTCTTGGGAAGTATCCTTCATATCTCTTGGTGTCCCATATATTTGCGTCAACTGAGTGGCTACAATATGAGATAAGGAGTCACAAAGGGTGGTGGCCAGGCGATCTATAGCTTTCTCCATCGCTTTTTCAATCATGTCTGCAATGGACACTGAAAGAGAAGCTTCTAAAGTTGCATTATGTCGGGCTGCAACACCAGCATATCCCTGGGTTCTTGCCTGAATTTCAGCGATGGCGTCTTTTCGTGAACAGCGTCTGCGATCAACAATTTCCATAATATGAGTCTCCCGCGCTTTGGCTGAGCAATTAGCGTTATCTGCGCAGTGCTGCTCATGACAAAGACAACACTTTTCTTCAGTACAATTGCATTCATTTGCAGTATGTGCCTCACCACATTTTCGGCATCTGGGAGCTGACCTACATCCTTTTAAAGTGTGTCCATAGCGCCAACATTTCTGACACTGGAGGGGACGAGGTGACAGTTGTTCGACTCTGAATATTAAAGGCCACGCCTTGATTTCAGTGGGGCGAATCGACCCGGCAATTGTGACAATTACAGACTCAGTAGGGATCTTTGTCTGTTCTACAACTCGTGAGCATCTATAAACTGCAATAGCACCTGCCTCAGAGAACATCTCTAGGACCTCAGCTGGAGTCATGTTGATGTCTACGCCTCGTACAATACCTCTGACGCATGCTAGGTGAGGAGGAATGAAGGCGCTCACCGGATTGGTAGCGAACATCGAGCATTTAAGTAAGTCTTTGACACAGAGCTGGTCAGGAGAAAAGCAGACAATGCCTCCCTTGCCAAACTGCCGGACCTCTGTGATGGTGTGATAGTGAGTTGTCGCTGCTTTGAGTTCCGACTGGATCACTTTAGGGTTTTTCATCTTAATGACTCCGTCGTTGCTTGGGACTAGGGCCACAGGAACGGAAGCGACGCCATTGCGTAGGAACTGGTCCACTGGTAGCTCCTGCGGTGAAAGAGAAGCAGACCAGAGATAAGTCCCTGGTCCAGGCGAAGAAAGCGGCATCTGTCTGGATTGACTAGCCAGAAGGGTACTAGCTAATCAATGCTAAGGCTTTAGATACGCCTATCCAAGAAGAAATTCAGTAGAGGCTACTCAGATTTCAGCCAAACCCCCAGAGCAAGCAAGCGTGCGAGCGCACAAGATGGCTGTACAGCAAGATGCCTGCTTCGTTGTCGTCCCGAAAAACCACCTGACCCACTAGCTGGAATCTACGAAACATTCCTATCATCGTTCTTTTTCATATAAACACGTGTCACTATGTAAGTACGTATTTAAAAAAGGCACAAAGAAAAATAGTTCAGAAGAAAAAGCTTCAAGGCACCCACCGAATATTAGAAGTAGTGACGCCTCGCTTCTCAGCGCGCTGTATTGACCAACTAGGCCATGCCGCTTATATATACTGTTCATCGCACTAACGGCGAGCTATGTATATGCACCGTTTTCCACTGGCTTACTGCCAGTAGGCTTAACGGAAACATTCTTGAACAAAGCATGTACTTTGTTTTGACCAAGCCGTACATGTTTTCCCTAAACATTGACGTGTGCGGTGTTGTGATGAATGGAGGGGTGGGTACGCTGAAGCACATACAGTTGGATCAAAGGGCCATTTCAAAATATCTCTCGCTCCACTTTCAATCTGAAGCAACAGGAAAAATTGTTCGTGGTAAGTGCAGGACTATTCGGAAAGGTGCTGGTTCTATTATGCCTGTATATTTGGTTCCCATGAAAAGGCACATTGCCACTGCCCCTTTATACGGAAAAGCTAGTCTCGCTGCCCTTGATGAGTTGTGGTGACAATTGTGTCATTAAAACATCACGTGGCTTCGCCGTAGCGACGATGTGCATCTCATCAGAAATCTCGCAGACTGACGTCCTGAACTTCTTGTTGCACAACTTTTAAGCAGTGTGCATACAGGATTTATCCATGATAGTCAGCGGAGTCTTTAACATTATTGCACGTACGTCGACATCAAAACAAGTGGCTTGTTTGCAGAACTTAAACTTGGCCTTTTGCCGGACGTCACGCAGTCAACTATTCACAACAACACCTGTTTAGATATTATGGCTACTGTATCACTGTCAATTCAAACACAATTGACCATGTTCCCTAAGTTCCGTTTGGTTCCTAAATCTCCTAGCCTTACTGCGTATAACAGGCCGATGTGTTGCCATCGCAGTTATTGCTTCGTGGGCATGTTCAGAAACTGTGACTTTTTTATTGACAGTCTATATGTGGGGAATTTATTTCACGCACCAAAACAGTGCTGCTCTTTCCCTAATCACCAATGACGTGCACCGTTCTCGCGCAGGTCCCCTGACTGGCATGCTATGCTCTCGCTTTTCATGCAGAAAAGTGCTGCTCGTTTGTTCCTTCTTCACTGGTATCGCTGTGAGCCTGTGTTACTTCGCGGAAAGCACACACTTCATCGTTGTGTTCTTTGGCATCATTCACGGTAAGCAACAGAGTAATGCTGGAGAGAAAAACATCGGCGAGAAAAACTCCAGCTGTCAAGAATGTTGGCTTGTGCAGGCTTTGAAACCCTTGCATAGCTCGGAAACAAGAGGTAACCCCTACGCAGTGAGGCAGAAGGCTTGTTTATGAATTATTTTTCCCTCGTACGTGTGCAGCAATAATTTACCAGCTTGTCTATGTTAAAGGCAGCAGATGTCATGATCAACTATGTGGTAGTCTGAACAAATGGCTGATCTTTATTGAGACATAGCGACGCACAAGAGACGATAGACAAAAAAGTTTATAGATATAACTACTCATACATACACATGGTATAGCCCTACTTACAACGATTTCCTTTCGCGATATCCATGCTGCTTTTATGTTGCGTAGAAATTACGGAGGGTTATGAGTCCATATTCTCCGTCCCCTGCCATAGACCCACATTTAAAATCACGCGCGTTTCTTCTTTCTGTCACAACAAAGGCAATGAAAGTGTAGGAGACATAAGTAGCAGTAATTGTAATGAATTTTGCAGAAAAAAAATTGAGCGAAAAGATGACTTGCGATGGACAGCGACAAAACCTGCGACCTTCGAATTCTGTACCGACTGAGCTATCGCTGTGGCTACTCACCGTCCACACTATGAGATATAAATGTGCCATTCATTTTTGTTTTTTTCTTACACTTGCAGGAACCACACTTTCAGGGCTCTTCGTGGCTGCAAACGTCCTTGTGGCTCAGCATTTTGAGAAACGAAGAGCAACAGCTTGCAGCTTTATGTTCGCAGCTGGTGGACTAAACACTGTTGTCTTTCCTCCACTCATTGAATTGTTCTACTCGCGTTACGGTATCCACGCCGCATTCTTGCTCTACGGGGCGATATTGATGAATGCATTCCCATGTTGTATAGCTCTGAGAAGTCCACCATGGTTCGAGAAGCCAAAATCAGTTAGCCAGGAAAAGGCGACAGCATTCAATGAAGTCAGCAGCTCAAGCAGGCGTGCGTATTGGAATTCTGGTTCCGAAAAATTCCGCAAACAAAATAGTGACCAGTGCACCGATGAAACGCATGTATTCTTGCAGAAAGATGACGCACAAGAAACTCCATCAAGTGTCACTAATAGTGCCGAATTCGCCTCGCCCAGTCCTCCAGGAAAGGCGGAAAGAAGCAACATTGTTAGGTGTATCAAACGCGAGCTGGCACCATTCATGACACTGACCTTTTTAGTGAGCGCTTTGTCCTTCACGGCCGTGAACTTTGGGATGGCGTTGTACGTCCTCCTGTCAACAGATCTTGCCAGTGACCATGGAATTGAACCTTCCAGCGCTGTTTACTTTCTCCAAGCCTTCTCCGTCAGTGACATCATCTTCAGAGCTCTCGGCGGCATTGTCATAGACTCCAAGATTCTCTCCCTAGAATCTGTGATGCTCCTTGGTTATCTTGTGCAAGGCGCCGCGTTCGAGCTACTCGCCTGGTTCGGGTCCTTCCACATGATGCTCACTGCCTCGGCTCTGATGGGTCTCACCTGCGGTGCCAGGATAGCCCTTCAAGCACCCTTGATTGCCAAAGACTTTGGACTCAAGCAGCTTCCTGTCATTATGGGAGCCGTGTACTTCTGCATTGGCGTTGCGTTGCTTCTCCGCCCACCGATTGTCGGTAAGTGTCAGCTTCCTTAGGAGTTTCTTCAGGTTGCTTCAACCCGTGGTCAGCTAAAGCGTTGCCAAGAAAAGCTATGAGTTGATTAAACGAGTTTATGAAGCGATTGGAAAAAGAGCCACGGATAGCGAATTGCCAATTTGTGTGACAAAATAGCTGGACATGTATTTGAGTTGAACAAAAGCTATGACCATGAATTACATCTCTATAACAGAGTAAATCAAGCTTGCCTATAGAAAGCGATTTGCCTTCAATGAGCATAAGTGTAGGTTGATGATGACAAATAATTCAGCATTTCACAATGTGCACTGTGCGCATTATTGTCGTATATGAAATTCTTTCACGATCTGAACTTTATATAAAAACGATCTTGCATTAATTCAGCGCATATTCAGCGCTTATTCAACACTTATTCAGCGCTTGCACTTATTCAGACAATGTTAACATCATTGGCACAAACAATATATAGGCTGCAGGCATCGAAACGTGCAAAACGTCTATGCGTCACTGCTCTTAGCCTGTCAGAAACCCACGCGCCAAATTGTGTGTGGGGGAGGGAGGAGGGGGTCCCCCACTCGCTATAGCCTTTTCCCTAGCCTGAAGTTGCTGATTCGCCCTTTTCCTTTGCAGTGAACAGTCGCATATTTTTTTGCATTAACTTGTTTCTTACTCTTTAACTGTGTCGTGACTGTTTATTGCAGTAAATGATTGCTACAAGAACTGTTTGTTACTGTTTTTGTTATTCTTCTTTGTTTCTCCTTTTTGCTCGTTTTTTACACTTGTTTGTTGCAGTAACTCTATCTTCATCCTTTATTACTCCATAATCCCTTTGTATCAGAAGTTCTGGACTTGTTACACATGAGCATTGCGTAACAATGAGCATGGAATTAGAAGCTGTTTCATGAAAACCTGACCAAAACAACGTGACTTTCATGACTCCCATGACTTTCAGCATACGAATTTGTTTCTACTGAAATCAGTACTCTGTTTTGCATCTAATATTTTTGCATTTCGTTTCATTCAAAATTATCTTCTGCTGTTTTTGAGAACCCGCTACCCCGACTTATGTAACTCTGAAAACTATTTTGCCTGGCCCAGTGAGTATATCCTGTGCCACGCAGGAAATCGAAATTAAGAAGACCAGAGCTTCTGACACTCAGGCTGCTTCAGGTCGGGGCGTAGGTTATTTCGGCGCTGTCACTAAGGATTTCTCCGGAGTGATAGCTAACTGATGCATCTTCGTTGTGCCGGGATAAGGCCAACTCTTGATTTGTGTTTTGGTGATGTTGCGCGCTTCACGGCGGCAAAGCAACCACACCGCCCAAGTGAGAGGCTGCTATTAGCTCCGGCTCGAAGAAAAGCAACATAGAGGCAGCTCAACAGGCCCGCGACCCAGTAGAGACGTTGTCTTTTTGCTTCCACGTGAAAGCGCCCCCTACATGCCAGAGCGCATTCCGAAAGTTTCTAATGATGTGTTTCCATGCGTTAATTCAATATAATCGCTTTTTTCGAGAACTATGCATTGACTCGATTACTGCAGATATACTTAGGTGTGCTTTCTATATGCAGGCTACTTCCGAGACAGGCATGGATCCTACAACGGTCTCCTTCACTGCACAGCAGCCGTCAATGGTTTTTTGTTGTTTGTCTGGACTATGAAGCTGATGAAGAGCAAAAGGCAGGAATCAGCATTAAAGAAGGAGCGATTATCAGAAAAAATATGAAGAGAAAGGAGGAAAGAGCTTCTTATACTTGTAGGCAGAGCAAATGATGATTGCTGTGCCAACAATTCAATGGGCTGCATAGAGAAGACTCGATCTAATATTTCAGAGCGTGAACATACGAGAAGTCGAGCTCTCTCTTGAGCAAAATTAACACCTCGTGAACTTTATTCTCGTCAACAGTCCCCCGTTTGCGTAAAGCTGGTCGCACGGCTCAGTGTACCGGTAGTTGTGAACTTGCATCTTGTCACATTTTACTTTGACGACCCCTGTGTGCGTGCTTGTTTGTGCAAGTTGGTGCGCAATACCACAACTGGAAACGTGTGAAAAATGGTCGCTGAAGAAAGCAATCAGCACAGTACGTCTCTCGCTAAGTTTTACATGTAGTGCAGCCCAGATCATTGTATTTATGCTAAGTAACACAACACCATTTGTAGTCAACAAGTTTTTATTTGTATTTTTTCATCGATATTTTAGGGCCTCCGGGTCTTCAATCAAAAGTCATTTGATGGCCTTTTATCTTGATTGTTGTGGTTTTGAAAAAGTACATTATTTGTGAAATGATGTAGCAGGGGCTATAGCCAGTGCTATACAAAAGCGTTAACATCTCCTAGGCTACACACCATTAGAAGAACTCCAAAATAAACTGTGATATCCTTCTCTGAAGGAATCGCTGAACAAGTTGGTCTCAATTCACAGGGGCAATCTCTGTCTTACGTGTGTTGTTCGTTACGAAGTTACCGATGAATTCCCATTGATGTTTTGAAAGGGTACGTTGCTCTTTAAATGTTAAAGTACAAATTATACATATTTCCCTTCCTTGAAATACCTTTCTGGGAGTGATTGTAGCATGAAATTGCTGCTACATATTCTCACTCTTACTGATCTTCAACTGCAGATGAACAAGACAGATTAGAGGACACAGTGTTGCCAACCAATGTCTGAGAAATACCCCCATGGTGTATATTATCTTCCTATACTATTAACAACGTTATTACACTACATATTACCCTACGCCTAAAATGGCGCAGTCTAATAAGAATAAAGTACAGACTACCCTTCACCGTACCACATGCAGAGAGGAGGTGTCGCTGAAGGTGGCAGTGACATCGGTGGTTTGACAATTGGTTTTGAAGGGAGACTAAAAACATAAAAAGACAACATTATTGACATATGCATTGTGTCTAACATCTCCAAAGCACCACATGATTATGAAAGACACCGTAGTGGAGGATAAACAAATATATTAGGCCAGCTGGTATGAGTCAATCTTGGTAGGAAGCGCACATCTCTTACACAGTAACACAAGACACAAGCACTTATAACAAGATAAGCGCTTCTGTATTATGTTCCCGTGGGAAAGTTGTGCGCTTCCTACGAAAAAGTAGCGAAGGACTACAGAAATACGGCCACCTGCAGGCTCTTCAACGTGCACCCAAATCTGAGCAAACGAGACTACAGCAGTTTGCTTCCACCAAAAATGCAGCCACCGCAGCCGGGGTTCATTCCCGCTACCTGGTGGTCAGCAGCCGACTGCCTTAGCCACTAGACCTCCGCGGCGAAGGAGCAGATGAAGGTGGCTGAGCGTTGAAGAAGTGCATAACTCTCACCGGGTGGTTAATCATGTTAGACTGACCAACAGAAAGACAGACACAAATATTGACATTGAATTACCGCAAAAGAAACTATAGTCTCTAAAAACACAGGACATGGTCGAGAGTTTCTACGAAATGGTAGTTATCAGAGTTAGGGGAGTCAGCCATACCAATGCGATGAGAATTGACATCGGTACGAGCAAGTACAGAGTGTGTGCGCAAAGGTTGCTACACTCCAATAAAAGCTCGGTAAGATTTTCCGCAAGCCATACTTCATACACTCTACTTTTTATTGTGCCTCTGGCATATGACTTACTGCTTGGAGTCGTTGGGTGTTACGCACAAGGGTTATCGAGAAACCCCTGAACAAATTCAAAAGCGTACATTGAAAGTCATAAACTAAGGTTTACCAGCACGCAACATTTTCTAATCACATCGCTTTCTCTCCGCTGTCATATTGCGTGACTACAAAATTGATGTTTCGATAAATATTAGATTTAATAGAAATTTACGTTTGTCCTGCTGATAATTTCTCAATTCTTAAACGCAATACACGACATACTCCTAATAGCGATTGCGATCGGCCATATGGTGCAACAATTATGGAAAAAGGCTGTTAGGATTCATTGGAAGAAACGTATGGAACGCAATTCCACTTGAGATTAAAGTTGCACGTAATTTGGTCTAGCACGCAAGTCATGTTTTATAGAGACAAGATATGTACGCCTGTAGGTATGTCTGTGATTGGAATTTTAATGTGTTTTTTCTTCTAATAAGTGCTTGGTACAGTTGCAACCTAGTTGTAATCTCATATGTTCGAATGTTCGCAAGAGAAAATCTATACGTGTGCTGCCTGTTTCTGTTTCTCTCTTCAAAGCTGAGCTGCAGATTCTCCATGCACATTGTATTGGAGCAGTCACTAACCACCTAAGGCTATCGATTCAAATATTCTTTGTACTTTTATTCTTTTCTTATAATATATAGTATTCTTGATTTATTAAGGAAGACGTCTGTGGAAATAATAAAGTGTGACACTATATCACAAGTACCCACAGTAAACCTCCCAGCTTTCAGGCAAATTTCAGCCTTCCTCTCTACCACGGTAGTTGTTACAGTTTTAGTAAACTTACTTTATTCCATTACGACAATGGAAACAGATTTGATTGATATGTGAAATTTAATGTCCTAAAACCACCATAAGATTATGAGAGACGCCGTAGTGTAAGACTCCGGAAATTTCGAGCGCCTGAGGTTCTTTAACCTGCACCCACATCTGAGCACATGAGCTTACCACATTTCCGCCTTCATCGGAAATGCAGCCGCCGCAGCTAGGATTCGATCCCGCGACTTTCGTGTCAGCAGCCGAGTACCTTAGCCACTTGCCCACCGCTGCGGGGCAATGCTAATAGAGAGACAGAGAGAGAGAATAAAATGACGAAAAGGCAGGAAGGTTAACCAGCAATTGGAGCATCCGGTTCGCTACCCAGCACTAAAGCCGCGTTCACATTGAGCATTCCGGCCGCCGAAAGTGCTCCAAATCCGGTTCGGCGGCGGCGAGATCCACCGAAAGCGCCCTCTCCGCGCTGATCGCTCTCGGACCGATTTTTGTGGCGTCTGCCACCAAATCGGTCACCGCGGACCAATATGAGCGCTACTCAAGGAATTTTGAAAAATGGCGGCCAAGCCCTACTCACTTGTTATGCTGCAGTGCACGTAACTGAATGTTGAAACCAACGGGAGTTTAACCTACTCTGTGCCTACTTCGCCTCCGTATTTCGTGAAAGAGGTGACCAAGCTTGTTGCGGTCTTGCAAAGCAAAACGAACCAACCAACGCCGCTGGTGTCGGTGGTTTTTCTGCTCTTGGTGCATTACAAGACAGCCACTTGCCAGCAAAGTAAGCAGTACTGTCTTTTTTTGCTTCTTGCGTAGGGTAATCGTCGAAGTATACACCACTCGATAGCGGAATAGCGTTTTTGAGCCGCGACAACAACTGGGTGACAGCGCATCCATCTCGCGTTCGTACCGTAGTAAATGGCATATTCGGAGACGCGGGGCGCGTCCAGTGCGAACGACGCTGTGTTTGTGCGGCAGGGGAATTTCGGTCGCTGTAGAAAGTGTATGTTTCAGTGTGAACTAGGCATAAAGGAAGAGAAAATGGGGTAGAAGGATGGGAAAGAAAGTGGAGAGCAAAACAGACGCGCGAAAAGGAAAAAAAGTGAGCTGGGGTGCTATAGCCTATACAATAGGCCACTACCACGCAAATAGTTCAATAAGGCCTTCACTGATTTTCTGTGTGAAGACAGATCATGTCGCCTTTCAAGCACTGATTGTTCTGATAAAGGTCTGTCGTCCAGGCGAGCTAACGCAGCAGCTAGCTGCAGTCTTTGCACGCTGTAACGAGGGCAGTGACAGAAAACGTGCTCTATCGTTTCACCGCTACCGCTATGACCACAAGCAGCACTGTCTTCCATGCCGATTCGGAAGGCGAAAGCTTTGGTGAAAGCGACACCAAGACGCAGCCGGCAAAGCACCGTTGTCTCAAGTTGAGAGAGTCCGAGTGGAGGCTGAAGTCGACACGACGTGTCCAGCTTATGAAGTCGTGTGTACTGTGAGTACTCAGCGTTCCACAGGGATGTTACTTCTTCATTAGCGATTTTTGCAGATTTTCCTTGCAGCACCAGTCTTTGAAAATGGTTTAGATTCTTCACCATCTTCGTGTGCTGATCGGGCAGCTGCATCGGAATGTTCGTTGCCTAGTATACCGCAGTGACTTGGAAGCCACTCAAACGTGATTTCATGTCCTTCGTCGACGAGGTGGTGAAGCAGCTCTCTACTTTCCAGCACTAGTTGTTCATGAGGTCCCACGACAATGCAAAATTTTTGAGGAACGTTATGCAAAAGTAGGCCATTACATTTTTGTACCGACTCGCTCAGTTACAATTCTGAGCGAACAAATGGTACAGAATGAAAGGTAAGGAGGTTCACCAATTCGGGATAACCGGTTTGATACCCTACACGTGTGAACTGGATGGGGGACATTGTAAGAAGAAGAGGAGAGAAAAACAGAAAAATAGCACATCGCACAGCACGTGCACTATCACCTAGTCAGTAAATGTCCATCGACCTGGTATGCAAAGCGGCATGACTATCGCAGCCGCTTGTCCAGGTCCATTTTCCGAAAAAACCTGAGCACTTTCTTGGTCGCCTTCAGTGTTAAAGTCGTTTATGGATGACATGCAAAGACAGATTCGACATACATTTGTCCATTATCAAGGCGTGCTACAAAGGGTACTGTAGTCAATAGCAGTGTAAATGATGTAATTGCAAGTTTTACTTATTACTCATTTTTCAGTCACATGTGAGAGTGCGGAAGCACCTGAGCACATCCATTGTCTTCCCACCCCCTCTGAAGAAGGAATCGAGTTAATTTTTAAACGCCGGAAAGTGAACCCACTTGTTCATTAGAGCTGTTTTATTATCTTCATTATTTATTCAAACAAAATAATCAGTCTGAAAAAATTGATCAGCTTTAGGTCTACATGTGCTATATTTCCGAATATAAAAAATTTTGGACTGTCTTCTTCAGAGGTGTATTTCGGGTCATACTTCTCCACTCTACAACTCCTGTAATCTTTGAAAATAATGCGTTAAAATAGACGCGTTCTGTATATGTCGTCTGTATGGTCATCATGTATTGTGTTATATTCTATTATGTATTGTTGTAGCTCTTCTTTCTTCGGAGCCAAGCCATCCGCTCACAGTATCTTGAAATATAGAATAATTTGTGCAAATGAACATGCAATTAGTGTGAGTGGTTTGGGTGACGGTGCTTGGAAGCGAAGAGTTGCCTCCCTCTGCTGCCACAGAAAATCCTTGAGAATCAAGAAACGGCAGTTTATCTGCGTTCAAGTCGCTGCTTTTTAAACCTAGAAAAGAAAAGTCTTAGAACACACGAACACAAACGTACTCGCAAAGAAGATTCGTCATCGAAATCAAATGACAGATGAAAATTTAGTCCAATGTCATAGCCCCCATTCGCAAGTCATGTGAGATCAAGCCATGTATATTTTTACAAACTCAAGAACTAGTATACCTAACCCTGACATCTACGTTATTCAATGATCGATGCAGGCTCGTCAAGCGTGAAGAAGCTCAGACTGGGCAGACACGCTCGCTCATAGAAAAGGCTAAATCACTGGTCGCAAAGAACAATTTCGGGGCAAGTTGTGAATATACGCCAACAATTTCGAAACCCAAAATACTCAAAATATTGGTTGCGTTTCCAGCTGCAGCAATATTTGCAGCGGCTCTCCTCCGCATACGAGCGTGTGCAGGTTCGTAGCCACGAACAATGAAGACAATCGACGTGAATGATTGATCGCGCTCGCCGTGACTTACTTCTGAAACCCTGACGTACTTCGTGTGTCTTTTTCTCGTCGTCGCTTTTAAGCGTTGCCAACTTTCTCCGCACTGGGGATAGCGGCAATATCGGTGAGGAGCCGAAGACGACGTTATGCGAGACACACTGCGTCAATGGTAAGTCGAGCGCGAAGAAGCAGTAAGCGTAGACAGCTGACCCGTAACACCTCTGCGCTACAAGCACACAACGCCCACTCAATATGACGATTGTTACACCAGGTATGCAACCTCTCTTTCCCGCTGCTGCTAGTACAGGAACTCATGCTACAAATCACCACAAAATGAGGCGGTAGCCTGAAGGCGCAGCGGCATCAGTAACGCCAGTCAGCAATGTAGCAGGCTCACTGAATTTTACGCGCTGTCACTTGCGTTATATTTTGCTCAACATACGCGTAATGGTGGGCCTAAAGTGAAACAAAAAGTTGAGTGCTGTGATCATAGTGTGTTGTAATTGCTACCAAAGACGTATAATAAGCGTTATCACGAAAGTGATCGCTTTTGTGGGCGGTGACATCGATGTATTTAGCACCGAAAACAACTCCGCGTGGGTTGTAAATAGATTATGCAGCCTGATAACAGTGCGCATTCACTCCAAAAAAAAAAAAAAAGATCGAGTAAAAAGGGCGTCCTTTCGTCACACAACAACAATCATCATCTGACTTGCTCGCGCTTTCTCTCTTGCAAAACTCGACGCTAGCTACTTTCTTATCAAGAAAGCTGTATCCCGCTGATAAAGTGCATGGAGTTCATGACCTGAAAGTGCCGGCCCTGCCGCAATAGCGAGAGGAAATGAACAGAACACATATGACGGTCATTGTTGTGGGACAAAAAAGTCGCCCATTTCGAGTGGATCTTTTTTTTTGTGAGTGTGTATTGGGCACGCAGATATATATTACCACAACGCTTTATTTACCTAGAACACTAAGGTTAGGCATTCTTCGGGTGCTTGTTTTGTCGGTACGTGTTTTTTTTTTTTGCAAAACGAAATTTGTTTAGAATAATGGCCCGAAGCTCGTTTCATCAAGCATTTCCCGGTCCGCTGTCTGAAAAGTTTGTAGGTGTTGAAACCCACCCTCCCCAGGCATTACCTGCGGTCTGCCCTGCAGTGGTGGTCTTGTGGCTAAGGTACGCGGCTGCTGACCCGCGGGTCGCGGGATTGAATCTCGGCTGTGGCGGCTGCATTTTTGATGGAGGCGTAAATGATGTAGGCGCGTGTGCTCAGATTTGGGTGCACGTTAACGAACCCCAGGTGGTCGAAATTTCCGGAGCCCTCCACTACGATGTCTTTCATAATCGTATGGTGGTTTGGGGACGTTAAACTCCACATATAAATCAGTCAATCACCTGCGGTCGTGTGCTCAGCTACGCCCCACCAGCGAAACCCTCCGATTTTCAGTCGAATCAAAGATTATGACGTCGGCAGTCGATTATCATTGTACGAAAATGTTAGCGCGGCCGATAGGTGAAATGACGCAGAAAAGCACAGCTACGCGGGTTTGTACTTCTCCGGAGTAAACAATACTTGACTTCTCATTCATGAATCAGTGTTTTCTACCTAAGGTTTTCTCAAGAGTCAAGACTAGACTCCGAGATATATTCGGATGTTCTACCGTCCTTCATTTTCGGGCAGAGCAGCAGCTTCGCTCCAGTGCTCCACAGAGATGTGAAAACTTCATCAGGTACGTTAAAATGTAGCTGACTTTTGCAGTCACATTAACACCAATATGACCGAAGAGGAAAAGATGAAGAACATTATGAAAGCCATAGAGGTTGATGCCTTCCAAATGCTTTAGCGAAAAACCCTCAGACGGTGAACAAAACATCGACTTTTTGCCAGAGCTATGGGGAACCGCGGAAGCAACGCCTCTACGTGGCGGGATCTCGTATCGTGAAGCATGCTTTCAGCACTGACTAACGGATCGCTGCCTCCTCCGACGCATTTCTCGACCAAGTCAAGCAATTTGTTCGAGAAGAAGTCGCGCGTAAGCTGTCTCTTCTGCCAATAACCCATGTATATATATATATATATATATATATATATATACATATATATATATATATATATATATATATATATATATATATATATATATATATATATATATATATACATATGCAGTGAGCAAACAAAGTTCATCATCGCCGGAAGATTTGCTGCAGCACAGCAACGACGTTAGACCGAGACTGTTCGCTTTAGATGTTGGTGATTTTCGTCCAATTTTTGCGAAAACAAAGGTGATCACGTAACTTGCAGCTGTGCCCGAAACTCCGGTCAAGGAAAACGCGCTTGAACCGATCATCGGCGCCACCGACTGCAGGTAGCGAACACTTCCCGCGTTTTGCCGCCACTTCCCGTGCTATCGCCGTCCCCAGGTCCACTTGCCTATGTCGCCATACCGCGGCAGCTTTACGAGGCCTCAGCTTCGCTTGTATTTGAGTAGTTAATATGCTCTTATTTTCTCGGTCCTCCAAAGCGGGTGTGGTTTTATCGATTCACGGCCAAAAGAAGAAAGAGCGAGCGGTGGGAGCGAGCGTTTGGCACCTCCGCACTCATAGCGGACTCCGATCAAACCAAGGCGACGACAAGTAGGGTGACATGAATCAGCCTTTAAGAACCAGCCTTAAGCTTACTCGACCTCTTCCGAGGCAATTTAAGGTTAGTGTAGTTTTATGGGAAGTGCAGTTTTGTTGACCAGTGTTTACGAATGAATTACACTTCAGATCTTTCCGAAAACAAGTATAGTGAAACCAGAACAAACATGCAATTCATCGCATATTCCACCCTATTTCTCGTAATTATGTGGTACAAGAAGAAATATTTATGCTACGATGTTTCATGGAAGACTTGCTAACGACGAAGAAAGTTTAATCAATTCTTTTTGTGTTTTAGGAAAGAAAATGATTGGGACCTCCTGCCGCATCGTGTATTTGTTTCTGCAACTGCTTCACCGCAAAGCACACAGTCAGCCTTGCAGCTGACGCTATTCACAAAAAGTGAAGGTATCTCAGGGGATCGTGCGCGCTCAAAATTCTTGTTGCATTGATGTCAAGGCTATGAGAATTGAAGTCACTTTACGATGAGAACTTGCGTGGCAGGCCCGAAAGAAGTATGAACGCAGCACGGCAGATAGCGGTATCGCTGGCCCATTGTGCAATGCGGCCATCTACAGAGATATACACAGAGATAACGCACATTGTATACATTTTTCTTGCGTGTGAGGCGGCCGCACCTAAATAGAAAGGAGGATGGTGGTGCTGGGACGAGGGGACTAAGAGCGCCGCACACGATCTGGCCGCGGCGTGAGGCGTTTCACAAAATGCGATGATATGTCCATTCAGTGAACAAGGTGTCCCTCAACTCTCGTAGTGTCAACCTAAGACTTCTGCAGCGCGTAATGAAAGCGGCGGACATGTCAAGTGAAAGGAACTTTGTATGTGAGATCACACTTACATGCGGCCAATACAACGGCTGGCTAAGGAAACGTCGCTTTATTGTGTCCAATGACGATTTCTTTACCGAGAAAAAAAACAAAGCTGCTCGTTACTTTTATAGTTCTAAATGCTGCCTGGCGCAATCATATGCTGCCTTTGGGCAACGGTTAACTCAGCGAGATCTGTTATAGCCGTCACAAAACAGAACCTCAATTTGTAGAACCATTTCATACGAAGAAAAAGGGAAAAAACGTAACACTGACATGCCTGTGGTAATATACAATAGTGAAATGTATTTCCTAGAGACTTCATTTAGGACGTGATACTTGTGTTTTAGAGATTGCCCTTTCCTGAATTAGCACGCAAATGTTTCAACTCCACGTATGAAAGAAATCTCGCTGACAATGAGGAGCCTTCAGGAATATTTTCAATATTTATATGCTTTACCGGTAGCCTAAATAGCTCTTATCTGTCAAAGAACGAATGCTTGCCAAAGTCAACCCGAGTGTTCTTTTTTTTTTTATTATCACATCTAACTTCTTCTAAGTGATATATATGAAGCTAGTTTTGAAGCTTACCAGAATACGTCTTGATTATGAATCAACTGTACATCTTTCAAGTTTCCCTCGACGATTTCAAGGCTGTTGCAAAACTCCAGCGTAAACAACTCTATAGAATACGTTTACCTCAAAAGACATTGAATTTTTGAATGCTCTTCAGCTTATAAAATTTTGTTTTCTACGGGCGCTCACCGAAACATTCACAACACTGCTGGCGGAAACGTAACATTATTATTGTTTGTTTACAATGCCCGAGAACGTTGCGCTTGCTGGAAATTAATCGGTCTTTCGGGGCACCTGCGAATACTAGAACCGCTGATCTTCGGGTGAGTTCGTAAGGCATGATATAATAACTACACAGCGCTGATGAATATGCACATCAACAGGATAGAAAATGTGAACGCTGCACGCTGGCTTAACTGCAAAAAAGTGCGTCAAAAACACAGTTAGACTGGTACACATGTCCGCGCACTTGCGAAGACACTTGAAAAAGCAATGAACTGTGACGTCACAGAATTGAGCTGACACGTGATACGTCACAGGGAATTGCAATCGCTATGCAGCACATTCAGTGGAGTTTGTACGACACATGCCTCACTTTTTTATTATTATCAGAAGGGCTTCTGCAATCTCTGTGTTGTAACATATCATCGTGTTCGAATACTAAAGAAATGGCTCTGGCAGGAGTGTTACCACCACTGCGTTTCGCCAGCCAGCAACGTCCATGTCCATGTCATGGTTGTTCCCTCGATTGTTTATATGCATCCTCTCAACATTTTATGGTATATCTTGGCATTATCTGTATATCACCTTCATAACAAACCTTCGAAATGGCCCCCTTAGAAGTGTCAACGCGTACGCTTAAACGCCAGACACGAGACAGTGTACTACTTTATCTTTCAGCAACGTTATCGCTCCGCGAAAGTGAAGTGCTTACCTTCTTTCGTGAAACTGTGGCAGGCAAACAAGCGTTAAAGACACTAACGACAGATTTCTACATAGGCGCCGAGGGACCAACCCTCCGTCGTCGACAAACACGTGCCTATATATATCACGTACAGGGGCTTTATATATACGTGCAAACAAGCGCAGCTGCGGCTTTCCGTGCTGCGGGTGAGCGGCAACATAGCCGCCAGTGATGCCGACTGAGGAGCAGCTCAAGAGAGACCCCGTGTTCGGACTGGACTCCCGACAAAGCTGGATCACTGCATCGTTCTGCGGTGCTCTGCTGTTCCTGGTCTTGTCCACCATAAGCGTGAGCGGCGTGTTCTTCTACGGCGTCGTCGAAGCCTTCGGAGTGAACAGGGAGCAGGCGTCCTGGCCCGTCACGCTTAGCGGCAGCGTGCTGCCTCTGGCAGGTAAGGCAGCTATGACACGTCTTTCGATCCAATATTGTGGTGTGGTATGATATGTTCGAGGGACGCTGCTTCGCATGATATCACATTTAGCATCGTCTCAACAAAGGTTCTCCTCGCAATGTGCTCTGTAACGCGTACGCATGCCAGTTTAAACGGGATAGCATTAAACAGCTTATTTAGCAGAAATTCAGACGACGGCATAAGTGGTGGTGGCGTCGCTGGTTCTGAGCGAAAAATAATCCTGCCCGTGGCCGAAAAAAGGATAAATATGAAAGCAAAATCTTATTGAAAAAGTTAGCAGATTCCGCGTACCTTGTGACTCGATATTATGCGGAGCGACGTCCGCTTCGGTACACAAGTCGAGTGGGGGCTGGCTCTACTGGTGACCCGAAATTCGGTGGTTCTATCCTAGTCGTGGCGGTCACATTACATGGAGGCGAAATCGTAGAGGCCCATGTACTGTGTGATGTCAGTGCACGATAAAGAACATCATACGGAGAAAATTTCCGGGGCCCTCCTCTACGGCGTCTCTTAAACCATATCGTGATTATGGCACGTAAAATGCCACTTATTATTTTAAATACGATAGTCTTTCTTTGGGACCTTCGACGCAAAAATTTTGGTCTGTCGGTACATTTGTTTGTTTGTCCGCCCTTAACGGTACCTTAAACAGCACCAAAGTGGCCAAATGATACTCCAAATGGCTGACCCCAGCCGCAGCACCCACCAATATTGCTCAAGGTTCAGCGTTCATAGTTGTGTGATTGTCAATTAAAAACCAATTATTGCGCATATCTGAGGCACCATAATAATACGTCAATATCCTCTAGGTGTATCTCTCACTAGAAAAAGCATAAGTAAGTATGCTTACGTATGCTTACGTAAGGAGAAAAAGCATACTAGAAAAAGCATATGTAAGGCTCGGGTCACAATGACGAACTACTTAGAGATGATATGAGTAGAGCAGACTGCTTTAATGCGTATTTTCAATCCGTTTTTTCTCCGCCAAGCCCGACATCTGCCGTTACGACACTCAGATCGTTACCAACTATGAATGATATCATAATAACTGAATCAGGTATAAGAAAACATTTGAATAGGCTGAATCCCCAGTCTGTGCATGGTCCCGACGGTATTTCAAACCACATACTAAAACGATGTGCTGATCATATAGCTCCATTTCTAGCTGCTTTGTATGAAGTATCGATAAGGTGTGAAAAATTGCCACGAGAGTGGAAGTTAGCCAATATCACGCCTTTGCACAAATCCGGCATCCGTGATAATGTATCTAACTATAGACCGGTATCGCTAACCCCCGTTTGTTGCAAGACACTGGAACACGTAATCTATTCTTGCCTTATAAAACACCTTCAAGATAATTTTTTCACTCCGTCTCAACATGGTTTTAGCGCAGGCTTTTCGTGTGTTACACAGCTAACCGAATTCGTACATGACATCGCTTCATCATTCTACCAGGGCATTCAATAGGAGGCTGTTTTTTTGGACTTCAAAAAAGCTTTTGATGTCGTCCCCCACAGTCTTTTGCTTCATAAGTTGTCGTTTCTTGATATTCCTGAAACCCTCATAGACTGGATTAAGGATTATCTCAGCGGCCGCAAGCAATGTGTTGTGATAAATGGTGTGTCTTCATCAACAGCTGATGTACGGTCCGGGGTGCCACAGGGGTCGGTCCTGGAGCCGGTTCTGTTTTTGATTTTTATCAATAATTTTCCACTCGGTTTGAAATCAAAAGTGAGGCTTTATGCTGATGATTGTGTTTTGTATTGCCCAGACAAGTGTTTTGATGACACCACAGTACTTCAGTCTGACCTTGACAAGATTGTGTCTTGGTGTGCTCAGTGGCAAATGAGTTTGAACCTAACTAAATGTTTTCATGTGCAATTTAATAACAAAAAAGGTAGTATCCATGTCTTATTACTTAAATTCCTGCGCAGTACAAAAGGTAGATCAAGTTAAGTATCTCGGCGTTACATTCACGGCAACACTAGATTGGACCAGTCACGTAGATCTAATCACAGCCAAGTCTTCGCGCTTAATTCATTTTTGTTCAAAGAAACTTCAGCGACGCGCCGCAAACACTCAAGGAAACCCTGTATATTACAAATGTGCGCCCAATTTTAGAGTATTCTTGTGTTTCTTGGGACTCTTTGACGAATGTACTTAAAGGAAAGTTGGAGAGGGTGCAAAAAAGGGCTGCTAGGTTTGTTACAGGAAACTACGATTTTAGAATAAGGTCTTCTGGAATTCTTCAGGCCTTGGGATGGAAACCCCTTTGTGGACGACGGAAAGTTCAAAGACTTAAATTTCTCTATATTATATATCACTGTAAGACTGGGCTAAATAAAGAGCGGTATTTAAAGACGCCTAGTTATATGTCCGAACGGAAAGATCACTTATATAACGTTAGAGAATATACCTGTCGATTGAATGTCCTTAAATACTCTTTCTTTCCAAATTCTATTAGTGACTGGCATGCGCTAAAAATGCCAATATTCTCTGATTCTAATTTCCTAACAGCCATTGAAACAGCATTTTGAGCTGCTGAAGTAACCCATATATTTAACGTTGGCTTTGTACTTCTCTTGGTTGTTGATTTTTTATATGTATAATTACTGCTTTCGTTGTATAATTCTGTGTTTTGTACTTTTGTTCTAATGCTGTACTACAAGTGTTGATTTCTCCTGTGTACTGTAATACACGATTTATTTGCTTTTGATTTTGCTGTTTTGTCTTCTATTTTCTACTGTAATCCCCCTACAACAATGCCCAATGGGCGATGTAGGTACTTGTAATAAATAAATAAATTAATTAATTATTTAAGTAATTATGAGGACCGTAGCGTTTATTACGTTGCGCTCAAAGTGCAACGCGATGCTCAAAAATAAAAAAAGACAAATGTTTCCAACGTTTTGCTCAGACGACATGGTGGTGGCACCTACCCGTCGTGTTGTGTTCTACACCTTATCACCTCCGAGAATGGCGCGCAGGGTACGCGCACTTCGTTTTCCAAGATAACTGCCAGATAGCATTTATATCTCCCGTGTGACGTGACCTGATGCGCTCGTTCGGCTCCGTTGCACCCTGGAGGCACTCTAGATAGGTATGTGGTGTTTAACGTCTCGAAACCATCATACGATTAGGAGAGACGCCGTAGTGGAGGGCTCCGAAAATTTTGACCACCTTGGGTTTTTCAACGTGCACCCAAATCTTAGCACACGAGTTACATTCCAGCCTCCATCTGAAATGCAGCCAGGATTCGATCTCACAACCTTGCCGGTCAGCAGCCGAGTACACTCTAAAAAAAGAGCGAGTAATAAGGGTGTCTTTTTGTCCCACAACAATAATCGTCATCTATATTGCGTTCCATCCTTGCGCTATCGCCCCGGGCCCGGTACATTCCGGTCACGATCGACATGCCCATTATCAGGGTTACATTGCATTCTGTACAGGAAAGTGGCCAGCGCCGAGTTTTCAAGAAAGGAAGCGCACGGAAGCCTGATGACGATTATTGTTGTGGGACAAAAAGACACCCTTTTTACTCGATATTTTTTTAGAGTGTACCTTAGCCACTAGACCACCGCGGCGGGGCCACTCGAGGCATTCTAACGCAGTGCCTCCAGAATACCATTCACTGATTTTCTTGCGCTGAACATCAAATAAACGTAATGTCCACTCTCCACACGCAAGAGTATCGTCTTTCGACGACATCTGCAGTTTAAGATGCAGATACGGGGCCAATTTTGGCTATGCGGAACGTGTGAAAGGAAGGTGACTGTGGTAATTTTTTTTCGAAACATCATCGAATGACGATAAATATATGTACAGCCTACATCATCTTTAATATCACGTGAGCGTCGACCGCACGCACTATCAGCGCCCTACAACGGCGATAATGTGCGAGACCGGCAACAGTACCCGCAGGCGCACAAATCGGCGCTAGTGCAAGCTGTGTCTGCCACGTTGTTCCATTCAGGATGATTCACGTCCTGCCGCATAAATATGTCTCCTTAGGCACAAAAATGAAAACGAAAGTAGTGTGAACGAACTCATCCGCACAGCTTGCCGACAGAACGAAACCATGCGCAAAGATACATTATTTTTACCGCAAGGTCTTTGTTAGTTTATTCCACCTAAAGGTGGCAGGAGCGCATGATGTTGAACGAAGACGTGGAATTAAAAAAAAAAGCAAGGCGTTTGTGACGTTTCTATCTGCAATTGTGCGTACTCCGGGCGCTTTTAACGAAGGGAGAATTTCGTCCTGAAAGGAACGGTCTGGCAGACGGCGGTTGCGCTAGCGCAGCATCGTGCGCCTGCGCGTACTGCTACCACGCATTCTCACCGTTGTATGGCGCTGATAGTGCGTGGGGTCGACGCTCGCACGATAATAATAAAAATGCTGGAGGCTATACAGCCGTACGCACGGACCGGTGTTAAACAATCGCGTATGTAGTAAATGCTGAGTTTTTTTTTTACTCTTGCGTAAGAATTCTAACAACCACTTGATTTTACTAACTACGAAAGCGGTAAGCCGATATTTTGCGCTTGTGCTTGCGATGGTGGCTAGAGACACGCAGACAAACTTCAGTGAATGGCGCTTGAGTACATAATTGACGTTAACTCAACGTGACTATTCAATTATTGGAGTACATACGTGATGTTTTATATTGAATAGTCAGCGCTGCACCCTAGATTGACGTCTCACAAACATTACACCTGCATAGCGTCTTTTCCCGGAAGTTTGGAAGCCTGGCGGTGCTCTGTGGTAGAATAAATAATTGCCATAGAGAATGCTCAGGTTCGATTTGAAATCATGATTATTCTTTGCCTTCCCATAGTCCACACAGCCGATGTCGGTTTTCGTTAACGCTCTCGCAAGCAGGTTATCAGTGTCTCTTCACTCTTAGAAAAAAGGTAGTAGTACTTGCTAACTTTGGGATAGTAATGGTTTGTCACATAGGTTACAACTCTGGTAGTAAGCG